CCACCGCACCTGCAGCGCGCCCGGGCTGCCCGGCTCGCACCTCGCCTCCCGCCACCCGACCTCCTCGTCCCCCCGCCGGGTCTCCCATGACGCTCGAGCCCCCCGGCCAGCGACAATGACCACTTCCCTGCAAGATGGGCAGAGCGCCGCGGGCAGGGCGGCTGCCCGGGACTCGCCGCTGGCCGCCCAGGTGTGCGGCGCTGCCCAGGGGAGGGGCGACGCCCGCGACCTGGCGCCAGCCCCCTGGCTGCACGCGCGGGCGCTCCTGCCTGCTCCGGACTCGACCCGCGGCTGTGCCGCAGACAGGTAGGCAGCCCCGGAGGGCGCGGGGGAGTGTCCTGGCTTGGCAGCCGGCTGGGGGGTGAGGAGGCGGTCCTAGGGGGTGAACCATGTGCCCAGAGCTGGGCCAAGTTTGTGAAAGTCTCTGAAGACAATTCCCTTTGAGCTGGCGCCTACCGGATCAGCAGGACATTGCGATCTCCCGACGCCTTATAAATAGCATCACCGTTTCATTGAGAGCTCCCGGTCCTCGTCTCAGACGTTCGGTGTGAACTAGGAGGCCAAGCTCCTGGAAGACTACCCCCCCCTCCCAACCCTTCAACCCTTTCCTCCTTTCTTCTTGGACCGGCTTTAAAAAATAAACAACCCCTTTTATTTTATATATTTAAAAATCGCAGCATAAATGAGTTCACCACCCACAGAGTCTTACAGCGACCCTGGAGAAGCAAAGCACGGATTGAAATTTGAGCAGTCTTGCTGTGCAGCAGGAAAGAATAGAGGCTTTAAAAGGTTTCCCAATCTCCATAGCATTCAGCTCTAAGTGCCTTTAGAGTTCACAATTTTGCACGTACTTTAGAAAAGAAAAAGGCTGCAGCAATACAAAAATCTATAGTCGTTTATAGTCTTACTTTTAAATGGTACTTTTTTTTTCTTTAAATTTTCAAAGTGCTTCAACTTCACTAAAGTTAAAATTACTCTGCAGTGGACTGGAGTACATGTATACTAGCAAGTTCTATTCACTTACCTCTTCAAAACACTGCCTTGCGGTTTAGTATCTATAAGCACTTGCAAAATCAACAGACTGTGTGTGGGCAACATTGTGAATGAAATTTGAAGTGAGATGAACCATAGCTATAATTAATAAGCTATAACTTCCAAAAGTGATTAGTAAAATAGCATCGTGTATTCACTAAATGTTTATAGATTTTGTCAATTTAATAGCTGTATAGCAATGTCTAATTCTTAAGAATGGTTTTTGCATCAGTAATTATATAGTCAAATTTTGGCCAGGATTATCAAAAGTTCTGCAAATAGATTCTCTATGCCCAGTGATTTCTTAAGGCCAAACAAAAGTATATTAGAGAAGTTTCATTTAAAACAACTGACATTTTATTTTGACCCACAAAAAGTACATCACAGATGTTTTCTATATACTTAATATAATATTAGTGTTGCCACACAGTGTTATGTGTTTTTCTTAACTTTTTAATTCTGACAGCAATTATATTTTACATTCTGTTTTATGTAAATTACATCCTATGTTCTCTTGATGTAGGAGAAAAAAGAAAGATCTTGATGTTCTAGAAATGCCATCTATTCCAAACCCCTTTCCTGAGCTATGCTGTTCTCCATTTACATCCGTGTTGTCAGCAGGCCTCTTTCCCAAAGCAAATTCAAGGAAAAAGCAGGTATGCCTTTAAAAATATTTCTAATTGAAAAATCTTAGGAGTTTTAAACTCATATGGACTCTCAGATATTTAATAATTTGCAATATGAACAAAGGCCTACTATAAATTGCTGTATGACTGACAAATCATGGCAATTTGTTTTAGAACCTCGGTTTTCATAGCTGTATAATGGAACTGTTGTAACTTTCTTAATGGAATTTGGGATGGATTAGGTAAGGAAATATTTACAGAGTTCTGCGAACTATTTACAGGATTGGTGGAATGTTATATGTGATAAGTCAGTAATTGAAGGAATATCAGTGTTATTGGGGTGCGAAAGGATTTACAGGTTCCTTTAATGCCTTCTTTAATCTTTAACATTTTAACACAAGCCAGCCTATTTGACTAGAGGAAAGTGATGTAGTGACTCTATGGCAAAAGGTAATTGGAGTTTAGGATTTGACATGTCTTCATTTCAGTAAATTCCTCAAGTTGGAGGTTTCAGGCTGCAGATGACTTGTAAGTGATGGTTAGAAAATAGAATTTATTTTTATAATTTCCGTTATTTTTCAGCTTGTTTGAGACTGACTTAACAAATTTGATTTCAAGGACCAAGTAACTATGGGGAGATCCATCATGATTATACATTTTATGAAAAAAAAAATCAATGTAATATAGAATAATTTCATCTCTTTTTAATACACTTCCAATTCTGAAACAGCAAAACAAAGAAAGGATTCAGTAGGCAAAGTGAACCTTGTTCTTGCAAGGATAGAAACAATAAATTTGAACAGTTCGAGGTTTGCAGTGAGGAGAGGGATAATGAACAGGGCGGGGAAGACAGGTGATAATTTTCCCCCATCTATTGTTCTCTTTTCCGGTACTTTAATTGCCTGTGATAAACTCAATAGTATATGTTTATAATTTTAGGAATGGAGGAAATACCTTAGGAAATAGATAAATTCTTGACAACATTACACGCCAATAGAAATAGTGTGGTAGGGAAACATACGATGTAACATTTGTGTTTTAATGGAAACATGGTATAAAAAGCCATATGTACCTTTTTTAAGGAGGGGTTAAGGGGTAGTTTGAAGTTTAGGTGGTGTATGTGCTTTTTGGAGAAGAATTGGAGAAAGAGGGAATAAATATTCCCAGAGGTGAGATATGTTCTGATTTTGAGTCTTTGATGGAGGAGGCAAGTCCATAAGTGGGTGTGACTGTGACTTTGGACCAGAAGATGATCAAGCAGATTTTCTTGAGGTTTGTTGTCAGCGTGAGTGTTGAAGTTAGAGCCCAAGGGAAAAGCAGGCCTTCTGAAACATCCTCTTTGAGAGCTTGTCTTTTGGATTAGGCTATAAGATGGCAGCACAAATGACAGATCTGACTGCATGTCATGATGGTAGAAAAAAATTGACCCTGGAATGTCTGTGTGACCCAGAATGGTAAAAGAAAATGTTTGATGGTGACATACTAGTCACTTGGGAGAATTTAGTAGATTATTTTCCTATTTATGGAGGGTCTGCATAGTAAATGCTCCCAAAGGGTGTTAATCAAGATAAGGCTTTGATTTGGGGTTAGGTTAGGGTTAGGAGAAGTAGGGAATAGAGGGAGAAAAGACTGGCTTGCTCTCATTTTTATTTTTTGAAGGGATACTGGGAAAATGACTATGCCTATGTGGGCAGGTTTTGAATTGCATATAGAGACACCAAGTATTGTATGCTTCTGTTAATGGTAGGAGGAGAAAGTGGATATTTGGGTCAGGATCAAGTCTGAGTGTTTGCTGAGTATGGATAGTCATCAAATTAGAGTAAGACATCTAATGTTAGAGGGTGACATCATTTCTTCAAATTAGGTTTAGCAAATTGGCCAATGGGGAAGAGAATGCTGTTACTGTTGACTGTACCTTTTCTTGCCCTCACCTTGTGTCCTGTTTTCAGAGAGCACAAGCCTGCACTTAGACTCTGATGCTCTTTCTAAATCCATTTCATTTGAAGTATTGATTATATGTTAGTACATGTTTGTGTCAGTAACCTCAATGGCCATCATTATTGGAATAAATAGCTCTTTCTGCTAGTGGTTGTACACTTGGTAAGTTACAGGAATCTGTATCTGCAGAAAGACAATAGTTGAGTGTATCCAGCTCTTACTCAGTCATCTGTGGCTAAGAGGAACTAGGAACCTTGGACTACTGCTTGTTCAACAAGGGTTATGGGACTTATTCTATGAGCAGGAATTACAGATATGGTATATGGAGGCTGGAGGATAAAACTGTGCATGGGGGTGGGGGGAATCTCTAATAAAAAACCAAAAAACCAGAGAGCACTGTCCCTCTGATGCATCTGTGCTGTTTCATGAGCAGAGTTCTGGCTGGACTCCTGGATACTAGGGCCAGAGGCGGTTCCCACCCAAAAATACCCTTCTTTTTGATACCTTCCATGGCCCAAGCGTTGGGGGTTCTATGAAGTGGTATATATGCCGTCCTGGGGATCAGAAGTCTCTTGAAATTTTTAATACTTTCTTTTTCCTACTTAGACTTTGTATTGATAGCTGACCAATCCTTTGACTTTCTCCTTTTGTGTATGCCCAGTAATATGGAATGAGTGAGAGTATGAGAATACAACTATGTGAATAGTTCCCCAAGTTGAGTATCTTATGACACAGACTACCCCCTTACCAGATGGTATTTCTGAACCAGTTAGCGCTGATCTTTGGTTGTAAATGACTGTATGTGACAGGTTTCTATTGAATACTATTTATGGTTGAAATACAAAGATGATGTCTTTTTTTTTTTTTATATTGGCTTATTCATTTGTATTGTTTACCCATTCCACTCATTTTACTGGGCCATTGGAAAAATAAAGAATTGCATTTGTTATTTATAAATAGATGACCAGAAAGTTTGAAGGAATATTGGTTTAAAATGTTAAATTGTTAAATTCCATGTTTTAAAACCACAGTCAAAAATCATTTTATAGGCCATAAATTTTTTTTTTAACACTTTGAGATGCTTACTTAGTGCATGAGTACATTGCAGCCACAGATAGAGAGTATTTTATCCATTTTTGCAAAATGTCCCAATGAATACATAATGGTAGGCTTTCAGTATTTTTATTTTAAACTGAGAGCTAGAATGACATAAAATATGGATTCTTTATTCTCTCTCCCTCTTTTCATAATATGGATCACATATAGTTCCTTTATGTTTATTAATAAAGCACATTTAAAATATATGTTCCTTTACATACATAGTCCAGAAAAGTAATTTGCAATCAAATTTGTTGATGAAAGTGACTTAATTAGGATTTAGTGATTTTTTTTTCTACTTTTGATTGAAATGTAACAAGAAATCATTCGTTAATACTTAGGACTTGAAGAAAGGGAAAGAACAGAGATCTTTAATCCAAAGCAGCAGAATCATTTTTTGTTTTGAGTTTGTCTCCCCCAGGTAATTAATTGTGTTTGGCCTCAGTTTGTGTAGTATCCCTGTTAATTGTCCCTAGGACTATATAGTTTAATACAGAATAAAGCCTTTGAAGATTTTTGAGATATAAAACACCTCTCACAAACTGTGGAAGGTTCAAGCTGAGTTAGAAGAGATATTTGAGATGATCTAATATTCTTTCACAGATGAGGAAATCGAGACTTAATGCTTTGTGACTATCAAAGCTAGGACTAACATCTGGATTCCTTCATCTTTGACAGTCTTTTTTAAGGCAGGCATATTTCCATAAAAATAAAGAGCAATAAGAATAGTATTTAAATAATAATCTATATCAGTGTTTCAGTGTTATTTGCAACAACTCTGTCCTTAATACAAGCACAGGGGTGGCAATGCAATTTGTTAATATTCATCTAAGGAGTTGCATTTTTTTCCTTCTTC